ACTTGAGGAACTAAGAGGAGAATTAACAAACCCCTCATGAGATAGAACCTATTCTCACACCCCTCAAAGCCCAGTACCGGCTGGTACGATTCTTTAAAGCCCTGTAACGGCAGGCACCCCAAAGCCCAGTATCGGCTGGCATGATTCTTTAAAGCCTTGTAACGGCAGGCACCCCAAAGCCCAGTACCGGCTAACACGATTCTTTAAAAACCCTGTAACGGCAGGCACCCAGAGCCCTGTTACGGCAGGCACCTCAAAGCCTAGTATTAGCTGGCAATTTTTTTTAAGCCTTGTCATGGCAGGCACCCCAAAGCCCAGTACCGGCTGGCATGATTCTTTAAAAGTCCTGTAATGATAGGCACCCAGAGCCCTATTATGGTAGGCACCCAACCGCCCAGTATCAGCTGGCATTTTTTGAAAGCCCTGTAATGGTAGGCACCCCAAAGCCCTGTCACGGCAGGCACCCCAAAAGCCCAGTACCTGCTGACATGATTCTGTAAAAGCCCTGTAATGGCGGGCACCCTAAAGCCCAGTACCAACTAGCACAATTCTTTAAAAGCCCTGTCACGACAGGCACCCTAAAGCCCTGTACCGGCTGGCACAATTCTTTAAAAGCCCTGTCGTGGTAGGTACCCTCAAAGCCTTGTAAAAGCAAGCATCCACCAGGTCCTTTGAAACATAGGCAATTCATATCCATTGAGGTTTTGTTTTGTTTTGTTCCTAAATCACATTTCGTTTTAAACCCTTTGTTTTATTTTATTTTTTGTTTTGTTTTTTTTTATTTTGTTTAGTTGTAGGTACCTAAGAGTCTTGCCTTTCCAAACAAAATACATATTTCTCTCTTCATTCATTTCTAAGGTAAAAATATCATCTTATGAAATTTTCACTTAGAAATCAAATGAAGAGAGGGCAACTAATCAACATATATTTTGTTTGGATCGTTGTCATTTGGTTATTTTCATTTGCATCACATTGCTAAAACAAAAAAAATTATCATGCTATTGTGTTTGTTATCCAATAGTCTTGCATCATTTGGTCATTTTGATTTACGTCACATTGCTAAAAAAAAAATTATCATTTTAATGTGTTTTTATCCAATAGCCTTTTATTCTTTTATGTTATTTGGTTCTTTTCTTTTTCGTGTCAAGGACAATTAGGTCTTTTCATAGGTATTGCATGGCCATCCAAAATACATGTTCTATCTTTACTTACCACTCATGTAAGAATTCAAAAAAAAAAATACACTTTTTCATATACTTACATAAGAAACAAGTAAAGAGGGGCAACTGTGAACACTGTATTTTGTCCGAGCATTTTTTTTAAAATTTGATAATAAATAATCAAAAAAATAAAAATGTAAAAATAAAATTTAATCCTTTTTAGGATTATATTTTAACAAAACCAAAAAAAAATTTTATTTAAATCTTTAAAAATCTCTCTAAAATTATCTGCTCCATTCAAAATATTAGGAGCTAAATTTTAAGCATCAACTCTTTTTTGAATTTCTTCTTTTAAATTTTGTTACATTCCAAAAGAAAAAGTTATATCTGCTTAATTCAAACTCAGATTTGTTTTCTAATTTTAAAATTAATAAACATGAATTTAAAAAAAATTAAATTAGGTTTTTTTTAAAAAACATATATATAAATAAAAATAAATAATAACCGATGGGTTAAACCTTAACCCATCGTTTTTTCACTCACTCAGTCAGAAGGCACGCAGACACGGTAGAACAGCAGAACAGAGATGATCGGTCGCAGACGCAGAAGTAAAGCAGTTGGAGCAAAACGAAAAAGCAAGAGAAGGAAGGAAATCAGGGCACGTGCACGAGGAGAAGACACAAGAGCAGAAGGAAGACTCGGTCACATGAAGAAGAAAAGCAAAAGAAAGCAAAAGTTTCAGCTGATTCAGAGGAACCCAGAGATGAAGAGTGCACACAGCAGAATAAAAACGGTGACTCAGCGGAAGAAAAGGAAAAAGCAAGAGATAGAGACGATGATATGAAACTGAAGCGTGTAGCGGTGAGTAATCTCTCTTCCCTTCCTACTCTTTATACATAGTCTACTCCAACCAAAACAAAGGAGGACAAAAAGAATCAAAAAACAGAGAGAAGAAAGTGATCAGAAGATTGTTGAAGAAGGAACTGAGGATTTGAGATTTTGCTTCTGCCTGGGGAGAGAAGACGAGAAGGATCAAGGAAGAAGGGAATTTTTGAAGGATTGAGGACTGATAGGTTTGAGAATTCTTTCATTTTTTTTGTGATTTAAATTCTCGTTCTGCCTTCTGATTCTACTTCAAGTTTTACTCCATGAAATCTGATTTGTGGGGTGTTTGTCTCATTCAAAGTTGTATGGATTGAAAGGTTGAAACCATTTTTCTAACATTTGCTAAGTTTGCTTGTAATAAGCATGATGATCCTGTTCTGTTAGCTGGGTTTACGTGAATCATGTATGTTCGTGCGTTATGTTTAAGATGCTAACAGAAATGTGACACAAGAAAGTATGCACATCTAAAATTAGTAAATGTAAGATGCTCAAATCTGATTCCATATCATGAGGTTGAATATTCGCAATCATTAGTATACTTGTTTCATGGTCTGGCTACCTTGGAGATTGTTAAGAAGTTATAAATAGTACTGCTTTTTTTTTTTAAATGTTACATGGAAGTATTTAGGTAATAAAACTTGAAGCTCATGGTTTTAACTTAGATGTGCTCGGCTTTAAGGCGTGATTTGAACTCATTCTCCCAAAAGTTCAAAGTATATACTTGCCTTACAACATTATAGGTTTTTCTTTTTTAGAATTAACCATTATGACTAATTTCAAAAGTTTCACTTTATGTTGTTTGAACTATCCTAGCTGCAATTGCTCATGTCCTAAATAGCTTAAGGAGAATGTTTTTTTAAATGGCACCTAGTTGTTCCTTGAGTCATAATTATAAAGATTGCTAGGTTGCTTAACAATTAAAATTCAAATCTGCATAAATGTGACCATATGTGATTAATAAACATAGTTTCAAATGTTCAAATAAATTGGTTAAGTCTCCATAAATAAAATGATTTCATACCGTATAAATCAACAAGGTCTTACGGGTGTGAGGATCAATCTAGTATGTATTTATATGAATTCCAAAGGCTCATCATTAGAATTCACTATCTTTTATAATCTAAATAATTTATTTAAGTTCCATGTGAGATTTTCAGAATCTTTGTAAGGACTTAAATTAATCACATTATCGCGTGGGATAATAAGTTCTTGCAGATATAGTGATTCTCAATTTCTATATTAAATAAATGATTTTTACAAATAATCATATAATACGATTTAGAAAAATTAATTAATCAAATTAATGAATTTAAGTTGTGACCACATTTACCAATTATATCTTTTAGTCATGTGAGATTTTTGAATCTCCGTAGACTTCTAAGATAATCGTATTATCGTATGAGTCAATAAGACTCTGCAGATATAACGATTAAATTTTTAAAAAATATATATAAATTATATATTAAATTAATTAAATTAAAAACGTATTTAAATTTAATTCCTTTATCGTGTGAGATTTTGGAATCTTTGTAGATATTTAGGATAATCATATTACCGTATAAATCAATAAGGCTCTGCAGGTATGATGATTAAAAACCTTTAAAACATGTATATACACACTTAAAATATATTTTTTTAACACTTAAAATATACATAAGAATATAAATAAACAAATCAAATTGCCAAACTCTTTTATTGTGTGAGATTTCAAAATCTCCGTAGATATTTAGAACAATTGCATTATCGTATGAATCAATAAAGTTCTGCAGGTACTGTGATTAAAAATCTCAATCATAAAACATAAAGAAAAATGATTTTAAACCTTTTTCTTTCTTTATTCCAAAAATTCAAAAATGGAAAAAAATAATTAAAATTAAATTACTTCTTGCAATTTAAAACACATATATCAAAATTTTAGAAATTGTTTTATTTGCAAAATGGTGAGTTATTTCTAATTAATTTCTCTTCAAAAATATTTTTCACCAACAAATTTTTAAGCCTGAACTATGTAAACTTTGGTCCCCATCACAGGGTACGTAGGCCTCAGAGTCAGATTCAGAGTCAAGTCCGTCCTCCCTCGTAAATAAATAAACATTTCTCAATTAATTCTTATCATTTTTATCAAACATATGAATATAAAAGGGATGATTAAAATAATTATAAAACCATATTAAAAGAGCACAACAAACTTTTGGTAACCGTTTTGACGAACGGGTGTTGTGGGGTGCCTAACATCTTCTCCACACTCAACCAACTCTCAAACCTATTCTCTGATTTCGCAGACCACCCTTATCCTCCATTAATTGGTTTTTCGAGATTTACATCAAAATCTTGGTGGCGACTCCTCATTCGATCTGGTTCCCGCCGTGAAGGCCGGGACCTCCGCTTGCGCGTCGTCCACGTTGCATTTTTTCGGATGCAACAATCGTTCCAAAAATAACTGAAATTTACTGTAATTTAAATTTAGACCTTTTTGTGGTTTGCTAGCAATTCTTTTCACAAGGATTGATTTTCTTGCATACCATGCTCTACGCAGATTATCAAACTAAAACATTCCATTTCTTTTCCAAGTATAGACTAACATTACTCTTTAATTTTTATAAATAATCTGTAACTTAGCCAGATGGAAGCACTGATCGATGTTATTGATTATTTGTGAATTACATAATATTTTGACTCTTATCGTTTACAATGATAACCAATTGAGATTAGACACTAGACATGAGTAGAGTTTAAAAATAAAAAAATTAATAACTAAGAATAATATATTTTATTATAATTCGATATTTTTATATTACATTTAGCGAACGTAACATCTCTCTCTGACCCGAGAAAAATCTCTGGCGTCCTCTTCGTGGGCCTTTCCTTCATACCATAACATGGTTGTGTTGCTGTGGCTATAAATTAGAATTGTAGATAAAGTTTGAAAACCCTTCAATTCTCACTTCCCTCTTCGTCTTCATCACCAAACTCAAACCCACCACCAAACACCAAACATGTCTCAGCAACCTCAAGAACAAGCCTTGTGCACGATTGATCCTTACCAGTCTCCCCAGATTACGAGAAACCCTGATGGCTCCATCACCCGTCTGATCTCTATTCCGACCACCGCAGCCTCGCTGGATCCCGACTCTCCGTCACCGGTTCTCTCCAAAGACCTTCCTCTCAACCCTAACAACGCCACCTTCCTCCGACTGTACCTCCCTCGAAAAGTAATCTCTTCTTCTTCTTCTTCCAAATTACCCCTAATTGTGTATTTCCATGGAGGTTGATTTATATTACTTAGTGCTTCTTCCTCTATAAACCATGACTTCTGCTTCGAAATGGCTAAGCAACTCTCTGCCGTCGTCATCTCTGTAGAGTACCGTCTTGCTCCCGAAGCTCGGCTTCCGTCGGCCTATGACGACGCCGTGGAAGCTTTGGAGTGGTTGAGAGCCACCGGCGAGAAATGGATACGTGAATTTTCCGACGTCTCAAGCTGCTACCTCATGGGCACGAGTGCAGGTGGCAACATGGCTTACCATGTAGGACTACCTGTAGCATCAGCCATTGATGAGTTTGGACCGTTGAAGATCAAAGGGTTGATATTGCACCACCCATATTTTGGTGGGTCCCAGAGGACTGAGTGAGAGGTGAGGCTTGCCAATAATCCAACTCTGCCGCTCAGCCGGAGTGATCTGATGTGGGATTTCACGCCGCCCGTGGGTGCGGACAGAGATCACGAGTATTGCAATCCAACGGTAGTGCGTGATTTGAGGGCTCTGTGTGCTGAGATTGCACGGCTGGGATGGGAGGTAATATTAGCAGCGTGTGACCGAGACCCAATGATTGATCGACAGGTGGAAGTGGTGAAGATCTTGCGAAGCAGAGGAGTGAAGGTGGTAGACCACGTTGGGGAAGGGAATCATGGAATGGATCTCATAGAAGTAAGCAAAGTTGGCCCGCTCTTCAACCTCATTAAAAAAATATATATATATATATATATATCGTGTGCCCTTCTTGATGAATGTTGAAAATAAAAAAATAATAAAAATAAATATTTTTTTTATTCTTCTTTGTTTTCCAGAACAATAATTACAAAATATCTAAAAGTTGTTTCTATTTTTCTGTTCTTCAAAATAATATTTTATTTTTTTATTCTCCAAAATACTTTTTAAAAATACGTTGTCAAACAAATTTTTTTTATTTTTTTATTTTAAAGAACAAAAAACTGTTCTCAAAACAAGCCCTTAGTTTTGTTTTTTTTTTTTTCCCTCCTTCAATTCTGGCTGCCAAAATAGATCAACAGAAGATAGTCAATATTGGCACACCTTAATAAATGAATTGAATTAGAAACTCTTTGTATGAATTGAGTATATCACGCCATTCATGTTCTATCGAGTAAAATTGTACTAGTTTAATTAAATAAAAATTTTATATCTTTATTTATAATGATTTTAATTTTTTTTAATATAGAGTGCCTCATTATTTTTTTTTCTCTGTTTCTATCTATCATCATTAATATGATACAGCCATCTCACATGTCATGTTTTTATTAAAAAAAATTATGAATGATATGATACATCAAGAATGTTAGGGTGAAAACATTATAAATTGTAGTAAAATCCTACATGCTTTTAACGATAGCTGGCTTTGGTCATGGGCATGAAAGTTCCTTTAGTGATATTATGTTCACCATGCATCACAATAACTTCTTTGATAGGCTTCTTTTTTTATACTAAAATCTCATTCTCAGCCATAGGGGTGTCTCCTGCAGACTCAGCAGCCAGGGAAGCAGTGTTGAAAGCATTAGTCTTGCCAAGACTCACCTCTCTCTCACTCATCTTGCTCCCTGACAAACAAATTTTTTACAAATTTTTATACAAGATAAAGGTGTATTTTTATCTTTAATGTTTTCTCTGAAGAGCACTCAACACTTTAATATTTTTGTTGAAATAATTTTTATTTAAAGTAATTAAAACGAATTATTTTTGCCCTTTTTATCAAAGTTTCAACATTGACCGTTAGAAATATTAAATGTGATTCAAACATTGACCATTAGATAATTTGATAGAAAGGGTAAAAATATTTTGTTTTAATTATTTTAAGAGTAAAATTATCTTAACAAAAATGTTAGGATGCTTGGTGCTCCTCGAAGAAAACATCAAGGGTAAAAATACACTTTTATCTTTTTTTAAATGATAGTTTAACGTTTTGGAAGGAGAGGGACCAGCTCACAAACACATCTAACGGATATGGAGGATTCAATTAAAAGCAAAAAGAATTCTAAGAACTTGATTAAAAATTAGATGAAATTATAAGGATTGGTATGTTAGTTTTCCCTTATTATTATAATATTAAATAATGATAAATAAATACATTTAATTTTAAAATTTGAACTAATAATAACTTTTCCTTTTTTTTTACTAGATTTCTCAATGTTTAGGTTAAATTTTAATAATTTACTCCCTCCGTTTGAAAATGTAAGGCATTTTTTGAGAAGCTGTATGTTAAACAATATAAGAGATTTTTAGTCTTTTGAGATATAATAATTTTATTTTTTTTCAAAAGTGCCCTTATTAATAGTAGCTTTATATTAATTGTAGGGCATTTAATGGGGATAAATATAAAAAGATAGGGTTAGTTTGAAAGTAGGTAACTACTTTATTGGGGGCGAGATTTGGTTAAAAATGTCTTAGATTTTTTAACAGAGGGAGTAATTTTTTTTATTATATAATATAATAATTATTTTGATAATAAATATATTAAATCTAAACTATTGAAATTGAAATCTAAAAATAGGAAAGATGGAAGGGGGTAAGAGGATGGAACCCAATTCTGGAAAGAGAGTGATTTTAATGGAAGAGAGTTAAGAGAAGCAAGGATTTTAATAATTCCTTGATTGGGGGCAAGGGTTAAAAGAATAAGGGAAGGAATAAAAGTAAAATTTATTTTTTTTAAAATGTTCTTAAAATTAGAAAAAACATGCTCTTAATATCATATGCGATTATTTATTTTATAATATATTTTATAATAACCTTTTCTTATATGCATATAAATATGATTAAGTTTATGTAAGTACTTCATTAGATTCTTGCCAATTATTTAAACACATGAACTAAGCATGGCTTGCTTGTGTAATATCCGTCCGAGGAAAAATGTTCACATTGGTGTCGTTTTAATGATAAGCAACATATACCAGTCAAGACGGTTAAACTTGCGAGTTTGAGTAAACTCGTGAAGAAATATAAATTCATATCGTAAATTTAAATTGTAAATTTATAAAAGTTTATCTCTATTAATAAATAGTCATTAAAATATGATGTAATTTAATTTAAATACACTAAAAATATAAATCATTGAAATTAAACCCATTTATATTGTTAAATTATCATATACAAGACATTGAAATTTTAAAATAGGGGAACCTATTTTTGATATTTTTCTTTTCTTTTTTTATTAATATTAGTTTTTGCATATCAAGTTTTTTTTTTCTTTAAATCAAGTCTTATAACTTTTATGAACTAAATTCTTTATAGGATATACTTAACTCGCTCAACTAAAAAAATAAATTGACAAGCTTAATAAATTTAACTAAGCTTACATCTAGTCTAAGTTTATAAATTAATTAATACGATTTTATAAGTTAAAAATGTAAAAACGGTAAACTTGAAAGTAAACTCATGAGTTTAACTAAATTTGTATCTAATCCAATTTCATGAGTGAGTTAATATAATTTTATAAGTGAAAAACATAAAAACATTGAACTTCCAGAGTCAACTTAAAAGTTTGATAATTAGTATTATCAGTTCATTTTTAGTAAATATATATATATATATATATATATATATTGTGTAATGTCAATAGAATGAATTACAACTAAAACAATGAGATGTAATTTGGGGGTGGGGGGGAGGGACCACACATTATTTTTTCAGTTATGGTTTTGATAGAGCGTTTTCTATCAGGTAGTTTTTTGAAAGAAATGATCAAATTTCTTGTGTCTTTTTTCGGGATAATGTTTAAAGAAACCCAAATAAGAATATTTAAGCTTTTCTTACCAGTTTAGTTGGAAGAATAATTTTCTTTTGAATTTTTCAGACAGAAATTTTCTCTCAAATTTTATCTCCTGAGAGAAGTGCAAATAAATCCGATCGAGCCAACTTTTTACAGAATATTATTTTCATTAATTGGCTGTGAGAGAAAATTCCAAATTTTCTTACTAGAAAGTTACGAAAAAGTTTAAGGGCTTACCAGCGCAGGCACTAACATGCGAAAGACAATACAGGGAAATAAAGGAATAATTCTCAGCTGTATCATTTTCTTATTTTATTTATAAATTATTTTTAACATATTTTTGCAGGAATTAAGAAAAATCTTAAAATTTATTTACTAACTCAAATTCTCATCTTAATATATATTTCATTCATAAAAAAATAAAAAATATTTTTAATTGAATATTACCTCCCAATAAAATAATTAGTTGTTTTTAAAGTAACATCCATTTTTCCATATTTATCCCCATTTAATATAATGTTTCACTTTAAAATAAGTATAAAGTGATCTATTATAGGGGCACTTAAAAAAATATATTAATTACATTTTGAAATACTAAACATACTTTATATTTTTTAATAGATGGAGTATGCACCAGACTTCTAAGACTTCTTTTAACAAATATACTCCCTTTGGTCTTTATTGGAGGATACTTTCAACCATTTTGTGTAATACTTGCTTTGACATTACCAGACACAGCACACAAGCATAAAACACTGTTATAATAGCCAACATTAGTTAATTCCTTAAATAAGGCTATCATAATACAAGGGTTTTAAAAAGAGTTTAAGATATTGGAATCCCAAGAAACCTTTTTTGAAAGAATCTTTGAGCTTAAATTATGATTTAAAATGAGTTAAAAAGAGTTACAGAAGCATAGAAATCAATTACAACTATCAAAACATCAATTGCAGGCATCAGTCGCCACAACAGTTGGTACAGAGGGACTATGCCACTCTTTGTGCGGTGAGTTACGGCACACCTACCTTGCATCGCAACGCACCTGCTATTATAACAATTCAGCTATCATGATAGCTCCTCCAGCCAACTTTTGAAGTGTGCCATTTTGCTATCCAATGCTTGTTTTGAATGATTTAAGTGTCCACACGTCGCTTATGAAGTCCTCTAGCTATTGGCACCATTTCTACACCCATTTGCTTTACCATTTAAAAGTTAGACACCTAAAAAAAATTATCATTATCCTTTCAAAATACACATAAGTGTGTCCAAAATGACCAACCTAATGCCAATAGCCTTGAAACCACTTGAACTAACTCAAATGGACCACAATTAACTTGATTAACTAGTCATACAATAACAATTAAACCTCAATCATAAATTGGCCATAAAAACCCTAATTTTCACAAGGTGGCATACGTTTACAAAAATCAATCCCGTGGCCAATCAATCACACAAACATCACAATAACATTCACTTGCATTTGTATCTCGACCTTCAATAACAATACCATTACAAACATATCATCTCAAGTCGAGATACCCACCATTACACAATTTTATGCAAATGAATACAAAAATCTACCCACCATTACACAATTTTATGCAAATGAATACAAAAATTAATATATGATCCTAAGTTGGCATTATATTCATAAAATATTTGTTATAATACAAAAAGAAAAGGGAACAGCCATATAAACTCAGGCTCTTCAAATCCTAGCCAAATCTTCCTTTCCTTTGCCCCTATCAAGGCCCTCATGTAAAAAGTATAATAATGGGGTGAGATAACTATCTCAATAATAGAAAATTCACAATTATCAATTAACATGCACAACTATAAACAAGTAAAGCTTATATATGTAAAAATACGATTACACATATCCAACCATAAGAAATTCCATATTCATAAGTTATTTTCATATTTTAGCATGATCATTCTATTACTTGAGCCTTTATATCCCTTTAACTGGAACCAAAGTCTCTATTGGACTAGATGTTCACACACATTGGCTCGAGCGTATCCTTCATGGTAGAATCACCTGGCCAAAGGCATTCTGTCCCACTTTTGGACTATGATTTCCTCTTATAACACATAATTAGGGTGTTGTTACTCCAACACTACATCACACTAATTTTAAGGGGCATAAATCTCCTACATCGTACCCCATGGGGGTATTAAGGAGAGGATTATCCAATACTGTACTTTTCTAGGTGCCACTCCCCATCAAGTACTGAGGAGAATATATGTCATATGAACTTCTACTATTTCTCCCTACAAGTAAACTCTTACCCCTTAATATGATCATGCTCACACTTTTCACACAAGCTGCTTATTACTCATATGGATACTTTCATAGATTCATCATTTTGAAAACCATTTTTCCCATATACAATAAAATCATTTCGCAATATTTCATACTTTCAAAACACGTATATGCACAGTTACACACACACACACGTTTACTCACAAATAGTTAGGTAATTAATCAAACAAAGTGAATTATTCAATTACCTTAACCCTTTAATCACCAAAAAGGGTTGTTATGGTCAAATATTTGCTCCACAAGGGTTGTACACCCAATCAATATTTAATCTACATAATTAAACATTAATCATCAGTTATCACTTTAATTAAACTCCTTTATCACTACATTTTGGGTACCCATTATACCTAAAATCTCACTTTAACACCACCAATACTTCTAACATACTTCATTAATTCTATTTAGGATCTAAACAAACTAATAACACTAATCCTTTACTCATATTGTTCTAAAATTCTCAAATTTCACTTAGGGTTTGTCCAAACCCTAACCAAAGCTTTCAAATCACTACAAAAACCTTAAACCTAGGTTTAGGAGCTTGGTTTAATCCCCAAGACTTTAATTAAGCTAATGAGTTTGGTTACAACTCAAGAAAAATGAAATTAAGACCCACATTACCTAAAATAACAGAGATTTTTTCATAAATGAGAAGGGAGAAGGAAAGGAAGCTTACCAATGAGGATTACCAACTCAAAATGCCTCCAAAGTTCTCCCAAAATGAAGGCCTAGCACCCACGAGCTCTCCCTTCATCATCTCTCTCATTTCTCTTCTTTTTCTCTTCTAAGATCAAATGTAACTTGCTTTTGATTTATTTCAAAAACAGGCCGTGCACCACGACACATAGCACAACAAAGCCATATGCCCACATTGGCCGCCTTCTCAACCTCAATTAACCAATACACCACCTTAGCTCATTTTCAAAAATCTCTAGAAATCCAAAAAATCTTATTATTATCCCAACAAAATCATTAATTCATAAATTACTTATTTTGACCAAATTACCCATGTTAAACACTTAAAATTTCTAAGCTTACACATATTAAGAAAAGTTAGTTTTTTTTCTTGATATCATAAAAAAATGATAGTATATATTTTTATTTTTACTTTTGACTTTAAAATAATGATACAATTACATTAAATACATTTACACTAATCAATAAAGGATAATATTGAAAAAGTGTTTTAATTATTACAAGTTGTCCTATATTTAGGACCAATAATTACTTCTGAAAGGTGTCCTACAAATCATACTAGAGTTACACAAAAACTCTAACAAAACTTATAATATACTCCATTCAAACTAAAATATAGAATATCGGTAATATTGTAAAATATAGTTAATATAAAGAGTAGAGAAGGACAAGACAATACAAGAAATAGAGAGAAAATAATGGAAGAGAATTCTTATTCATTAATGCATTATTTTTTTCAAAAAAAGAGTAATAAATAATAAAAGAAGGAGATTTGGTGAAGTTTTTTCACATAACACGGGCACTAATAAATATCTATATATTTTTGTTTATTTTTTTAATTAACATCTTTTGATTAGATCACACATTTCAATGATTTAATTTATAGTTATTTTTTTATTATTGTATATATATGTGTATTATTTTGTCCATCCTACTGATCGATCCCAAGTACAATTTGTATCTACCAATTGTATAATTCCTTCTCCTCCACTTTCTCTCCGTTGCACATTCACACAACACAACCATAAATCCTTAACAATTCCTTCTGATTAGTTTGAATCCAAACAGTAACATAACTCGCTTGATCCAATACCTTGAATCTCCTCCCTTACCTGATCCCAACCTTCTCCTTCCTATTCTCTCCAAAGGTCTCCCCATTAATCCTTCTCTCAATACCTAGCTTCAAATCTATCTTCCCCGTCGCCGTTAACCTCTAAACCTTCCACTATCTACCTCTCATTGTTTTCTTTCACAGCGGCAGCTTAATTTTCTACACCGCCGCCTTTACTTACTTCCAGGACTTTTGTGTTAACATCACAAAACACACGTAATCTGTCATCTTTTCTGTCAACTACCACCTCTCTATTGAAAGCAGGTTGTCGGCGGCTTACGATGATGCGATTGAAGCATTACATGGATCCAAACATCTGACGATCTATGGCTGACACATTTTGTTGATTATTCAAACTACTATTTGATGGGAGAGAAGCAGGGGCACCACTATAGAATACCCCCTTACTTAACAGATATTTTAGAAATTATTTAACAGTTTTTAATCGTTAAGTGATGGGGCGCCATATATTTATTTGACGGTTAAATATTGTCAAATATTTTAAAGATTACTTGATGGTTATTTCAAGATAACCATTAAGTAATCACTTAAACATTACCATATACTGCAGCAATGTACTTGACAGTTATTTAAAAATAACCATGAAGTATTTAGTAATATTTGACGGTTATTACATAACAACTGTCAAATATGTTTTCACAAATTTTGTGTGCCAAACACTTGACGGTCATTTCATAATAACCATCAAGTATGCATACATACTTGACAGTTATTTTGAAATAACCTTCAAGTAAACTCATATTTGACATTTTTTTCTAAATAACCATCAAGTATTTATGATGTGTTTTTTTAAAAGTTGGGACCTACTTTTTAAGCAATCAAATATATATACTAGCCAGTCAACAATAAAAAATAATTGAATCATTATTTATATTAAAATTACAATCCAAATATCTTTAATTTCTTATATCTACCTATACCCTAAACCCGATGCCGTAAAAAAAATCTATAACTTTACCTACTTTACAAGTTAAAATTTCAAAATTAATTAGCCTCAGACATAAAATTGACCAAAAAAAATAAATGTGTATACCAAAACTAATTAGGCCTAACCACTATTGCTATCCACATGTTGAACATGGTTTTAAGCTACCTTTTCAAGGGTTTTCTCTATATGTGTAGCTGCATACTAAACATAGTAGGCATCCTCGAAGTACTATATGCGAAGAGTTATAACAAATTCAGGTTAATAGCTATCTAACAAAAGTTGTTAAAATTTATAATTTAAGTATCATTAAATTTAATATATACCTTGTTAGGTAATGTGGTAGGGGCATAGGTGATAATGCCCTTCAAGAATCTCATCAAGCAATAGCCACGATCATTGCTCTAATCTGGCTGGAGTGGTCATTGTGAAAAAAGAAATCACATATCAATAAAATAATAGTTAAAAGGCCATAGTTTTTTAATTAAAAACTTAGTCCATTAAGTTTACCTTAACTGTGACCCATGTCTCAAAAGAGTCCAATGCCCTTAAGCTAGGGGACAAGGCCTTGTTGGTTGTAGTACGATACAAGACCATAGCTCTAAGAAGGAAGTAAAGAATAAATGTCATGAATTCAATATATATAGATATTAAAATAACAATTGATAAAAATTCAACTTGCTTATTAAAAAGTTCTACCATATCTAGCCTGTTGCTTAGTTCTCCATTAAGAGGATCGAGATACCAAATTTTTAGAGCAACAGGGTTAACCATAATAAACATCCAGTGCTCCCTAATAAAAAATAATAAGTGTTATCAAATAAGTAAATATAAAAAATATTTACTTGTACCAAAAGTAGCTAGAAAGTGGCTTACCCTTGGCAGTAAGGAGCAAGAAATAAAGTATTATCGCTTGCTCTCTTATCCTTAAATTGATCTGAAAGCTGCCTTGCTTAATCTTTAAGAGCTTCCTTTATAATTCCATTATAGGCAGAGACATTGTGGGGATTAATTAGCTTGA